AACAGTAGCAAAAATCTTGAATTTTTCTGGTTTCAACAATGTTGTACATTGTTGATCAAACGCTGCTTCTCCAACCTTTGGCGCAAGATACGATCTCCTCGATAATGCGTCAGATAATCCTTGCTGTTTTCCAGGGCGGTACGTGATAATAAAGTCAAATCGTGATAGAGACATATTCCATCGAGCTTGACGACGATTCAAAATTTGAGTTGTCATGAAGTACTCCAAATTCTTGTGGTCCGTATAAACAGTCACTGGATGTGCAGCTCCTTCGAGGAAGTGACGCCACTCTTGAAAGGCATCCACTATAGCAAGCAGCTCTTTGTTGTGGATCTCGTAGTTGATCTCAACAGCAGAGAACTTCCGTGAATAGAACGCAACTGGATGAAGCTTCTTGTCTATGCCCATCTGTGAAAGCACAGCTCCCAAAGCAAAATCTGAAGCATCGATCTCTAAATAGAAAGCCTTTGCAAAGTCAAGGTGTACCAAGATTGGAGCCGTAGTGAATGCCGTCTTGAGATCTTGAAATGCTTTTGCTACTTGTGATCCCCATTCGAGCTTGTCTTTGCTTGTTAGACGCGTGAGTGGTGCAGCAACTTGAGAATAATTCTTGATGAAGATCCAATAGAAGTTAGCAAATCCAAGAAAACACTGAACATCTCTAACCGTCTTCGGAACTTCCCAAGATATAATTGCTTCTACCTTTTTTGGATCCATCTTCAAGCCCTCTGTAGTCGCAATGAAGCCCAAAAATTCCATCTCATTCTGGTGAAATTGACACTTCTCCAACTTGGCGTAGAGTCCTCGTTCGCGTAGTTTTTCAAGAACCAAACAAACGTGCTTCTCATGTTCTTCTTCATTCTTGGAAAATATCAAAATATCATCCAGATAAATGACAACAAAGTCATCGAGGTACTCCCGAAAGATGTCGTTCATCATATGCTGAAAGACCGCTGGAGCATTGGTAAGACCAAAAGGCATGACATTGTACTCAAAATGGCCATACCTTGTACGAAAGGCTGTCTTCCATTCATCTCCTTCTTTGATTCGCACAAGGTTGTAGGCTCCTCTTAAATCAATCTTTGTAAAAATCCTTGCACGTCCAAGTTGATCTAAGAGGCCGGAGATCAAAGGTAAGGGATAGCGATTTTTCTTGGTCACCTTGTTGAGTCCTCGGTAGTCCACGCACATCCGCAGTGAGCCATCCTTTTTCTTCACGAATAGGATTGGTGCTCCAACTGGCGACTTTGAATGTCGAATAAAATTCTTGGCTAGATTCTCATCGATGTACTTCCGTAATTCTGCCAACTCCGTCTGCGATAGGTTGTATATTGGACCAAAAGGTGGTTGCGCTCCTTCCTCTAAGTCTATGGCGCAATCATATGGTCGATGTTCCGGCAGTATATCGGCGTTCTTCTTCTGAAACACGTCTTCAAAATCCCTATATTGCTCTGGTATATTCGATGTTGAGATATTCTCGCCGCTAGTTGGAGCTACATAAATGACAAATGGTGCGCCTTCCTTGGACGATCTTAGGAACGCTCTCGCTCCAATAAACATGGATTTCTTTATGTAGGTTCTACCAACAGGTTTATTATTATTTTTTTCAGGAAATGTTATCCTTCGTAGCCTCCAATCAATGGACGGATTATGATCTTCTAACCAAGAAAGACCAAGGATAACAGGGCTTGATGGGGTTCTAATAATATTAAAAATAACGTGACTACTATGGTCCTTAAACACCACTTCTATAGGTTCTGATTCGTGGGTAACGTTGCCTGACAATAAGGGTCGTCCATCTATCACCTCTACATGAACAGGTTTGGACTTCTGTACTAAACGGATCTTGTGGCGTTTAGCAAACTCTTCATCTAAAAAACAAGTAGATGCCCTCGAATCCAATAAAGCTAAAGTTTTTTGTTTTTGAGGGCCTAAAAACAAAGGAATTGTAAAACAACGAGCAGGTTGGACAGAGAAGGAGGAACCTGATTGTTGTCGTGATATTAGATTGTCCAGCCGCACGGTTCCTACCGTGGCTGGGCATCGTCGTTTTCCGGAATCATCGCACTTCTAGTCTTGACAGGGTGCCAATTTTGCTTCTTTGGGCAATTTCCAACCTTGTGACCTTCTTCTCTACAGTACAAACATAACCCTTCCTCCATACGCCGTTTCTTCTCTGTTGGAGTAAGAGATCGGACACGCGACGTGTCGATTTGCATGTCTGTTGCTTCCGAATGTGAGTTTAAGCTATTTGCAGACATAGTCACGTCGTAACGAGTCATTTGGTGTCTTGGACGTTGGTCTTGGCGACACTGGAATAGGCGGTTGTCACACTTTACAGCTTGGCTAATAGCTTCGTTGAGCGTTTGAGGATCAGGAAGAGATAACAGCAAGTCCTTCACATCATCCTTCAAGCCCCAATAAAACTGACTCACCAACGCCTCTTCACCCCAATTAATGTCACTTGCCAATTGTCTGAAATCCAAGGCATAGACTGATGCAGAGCGTGTTCCTTGTCTTAGCGATCGGATCTTTGTTGTAGCCCATCGAACTTTATCATGCTCGCCAAATGCTTCTGCAAACACCTCCAAGAACGTTTCAAAGTTACTCAGGATTGGCGATCGCTTCTCGAACAAGGGAGTAAACCAAGACAGAGCTTGTACTATAAGCAAGGTTCCAACAAGCCCAACACGCGCTTCCTCCGTCGGATAACGTTCGGGCTGTAAAATTGTTATCAACCTGATTTGGTTGACAAAACCTCGAAACTTGGAACGAGTTCCATCAAACTTATCCGGAAGACTAACTCGAGGCTCCTTTCGTTGTAGGACTACTCGATCTTGTTGAAATGGAGGTAGAACTGCTTCTTCTGGTGCAGAAGTTTGAGGCTGATATGCTTTAGATGGCGCTATCCCAGATGCTCCATTGTTATGGAGTCCTACCATGACTCCTTCGATCTCTGTTGTCCTATGTGACAACGGGGCAAGAGCATTTATGATGGCGTCTAGTTTGGATTCCAAACTTTCAGCCATTTTAACGTCTTAACCTTCGGCTAACCTTCAGAAAGAAGAAAAAAGAGATTTGACAAGAGGACAATATTGGTTCAGAGGAGAGTACTCCGCAACCTCTAAAACGCCTTAAGACTCCAAGATGAGGGGTAATCCACTCTCTCCAAGAAGAATAAGGCTCCAATATTGAGAAAGAAGAGATATCAGTTTAGAGGAGGGTAATCCGCAACCTCTAAAACACTAGCACACCTTCAAGAAGAGGGGTAATCCACTCTCTAACAAGAACGAACTAGCTCTGATACCAGTGAAAATGCAGTCTCGACAAACTGTCACGGACACAAAATACGGACTTGAAATCTAACAAGAAGTTCAAGAAGAAGTGGCAGAACTAGATTAAACAGATGAGTACAAGAACAACACCAAAAAGGTGAGCTAGAACTCCAAGAGATGTGTTGTCGAGACTGAAGAATCCTTCAGCCTCGACTCCTATATATACTACTGAATAGGAAGCTTCTCGAGCTACTTCCGCTAACTAGGACGCTTCTCCAACAACTTCTACTAATTAGGAAACTTCTCGAGCAACTTCCTAGAATCTATCAGAATATTCTAGAACCTTCTAAGAATATTCTAGAACCTTCTAAGAGAATCTTTAGGGAATATTCTAAGAATCTTCTAGAACCTTCTAAAGGAATCTTTAGAGAATCTTTAGAGAATATTCTAGAAGAATATTCAAAGAATCTTCCAATGTATGTCCATGACACAAAGTCAACACGTTTTGGAAGTCCTGTAGAACATTGCAACGTAACTTCTAGTTAAGAGTATATATGGAGACAAGAGTGAAAGCCTTCTTCACTCTTGTCAACACCTTTCTAGTCCTTAGTCTTGTTTCAAGCCTTTTTAGACTTCTTGTTTTTGGCAATAGCCATTCCAGTTCAATATTACATCATCTTTCAGTGACTTTTTAGTTCCTTTCAATGTTACAAGAGTCTATTGAGGATTTTCTTTCTTCGAGATTCATGTCCTTGACAATGTATTAATAAAGCAAAGTAAATATATTTTTAAATATATATATATATATATATAAATAAATAGATACAAAAAATAACATAAAACTATTAGTTTTTTTTAGTTGTTGCTATATTTTAAGTATTTGTGTTTTCTTGCTAGAAATTTCTTTTATATTTACTTAAGATCATTAATAAAAAATAAAAAATATTACTGATAAAAATTATGTATAAATCTAATACCATGTTATACAAATTATATATATCTATATATAATATTTATAATTAATATTAATCTTTATCATAAATTTAAATATAATTTATATATATACATATATGTATATTTTCTCTCTCTTTTTTTCTTTTTTTTTTCTCTCTCTCTCTCTCTCTCTCTCTATATATATATATATATCCATAAGCACAAAGTTGACCATTAATGTGTATAGTAATTGTTTTAATAAATTTGTAATTCAATCCTCTCCTTCTTTTATAGCAATTCACAAAATATTACTTAAAATACATGTGCATTGTTTGTGCTTTTCCTGATTTACTTAATATATATTTCATCCATCCATGTTAGTTGTACATTTTTTAAGAGTGCAACTTCATCAATTTCTCTCCATTATGACAAAGCATTTGATACATACTTGAAACATTGGTATCCAAGGATGATACTTTCTAAATTTACGAATATGATCAACACTCGATTTGGCTACTGCTCTTTCGTGCATGAAAATATGAGAACAAGTACAAAGATAATTAGATCAGCATGAAATATGAATTTTATTTTTCAGTTTGGTCTGGTGTAAGGTACTATGCTGCCGTTCAAGGGATCTGCTCTGCAGGCTGCTTGGCGGTCAAGCCCAGGTAAGCAGATACTGTAGGCTGCCTAGAGATTGGATTGCCATGGAAGACAGTTGGGGTGTGTGGTGGCCTGTGGGACAGAAGTTTTACTTTTGGCTTATTAGTTGCTCGGTGTTCGCCTCGTCTTGTCTCGCCTGGGATTGCCTCCCAGTCCAGAGCTCATTCAAGCGGATCCGGCATTAGGGTTTGGTGCTCACCCCCAAACTCGCACGTAGTCTGTTTCCCGGTCTTGGCTTACGCCCAATCCCATCCAATTTTGAGCTGCACCTGCCCCCGCAACCGCTCCCCTACCCCCAGCTCGCCTTCCTTCCCTCGTTTTCCCTCCCTTGCCCGCTTCTCTACACGCCTTTTCATCTCCGTCCTCGCCCGCGCCCTCGTCGTTGTCCTCGTCTTCGTCCATCCCCCTTTTTTCTTTCCTCTCCCGTTTCTTCTCCTCTTTCCTTTCTGTTCTCCATCCCCCTGGCTCTTTTCCCCGTTGTGTCGTTGCGCGCGCTCTATCGTTATGGCGGACTCTGGCGATGTTTATGGCTTGGCGTCTGGGTAGCGGTGTTGCGCTGGGATGGAGATGGCGAGAAGGAAGGTTCTGCAGGGGCGGCGAGGAGGAGCAGCATGAAGACTGACGAGACGCCTTTGAATCACTACACAATCGAACTCCTAAAACCGTTGTGAGTGCTTTTCATCTCTCCTCTCCTGACCCGCACTTTCCTGCCGCTATAGCCTCGTCTACCGGTACTCCTGTTTGCTCGGTCGTTGAGCATTTTAGGTGTTAAGCTATCATAATTCTCTTCCACGAGAACTTCTGATAGGACATATTGCATTAGAGAGTATTTTTCTGCCGACTCGAGATTCTCTAAGCACACTCGGGTAGCACATGATTGCAAAACTTTTGGTAACGAATTGTTTCGAAGTGGCTTGCCATCAGTAGTTCCCGCTTCAGGTCTGTTGTCTGGAAGCCGACTAGCATGATCAGGGTATTCGTTACGTACGCATGTAAATAGTTGTAGGTTTCGGAAGGTATGGTGTTGTTGTGGTGGACTGTAGGTTTTCCAACTCGTCAAGCGTTGGTCCATCGGTTGAAGACGAAGTACCTCTTGAATTGCGAGTCCGGCTGTTGAATTGACTCGGCGGATAGGTAGGATGCAATGCAATCACCGTCCGGCGGGCTACGCTCAGCCGGAAGTTCGAGTGATCGCGAGAGCCGTGGTTCTGTAGGCAGGCATAGCAATGAGCGGCGGGAGCTGTCGCAGAGCGTGGTGTAAAATTGTGAATGCGTGATTGGTGGATATTGTGAGAGGTTTGGTGTTTCCGCGGCATCCTCAACAGGAAACTTCATCATGATTCGCAGCACAGTAGAAGGCAAAGGGCAGGCGTGCAACAGTGGTACGCAGTGGAAGAGTAGTGGATAGGTGAGACCTCTTAATTGAGAGGTTCTCAGTCGTAACGCGTGTAGATGGTTGTCAATGTTGGACATCTTCTGCGAACGATAAAAAATTAAGCCCGGAAAGTTAAACATAAAAACCATTTCTCATGAATGTGGTGAAATGACTAAATCTTCCTTTGATGCGGTGTACAGGGCTGATGTAGACCCTATCTTGCTTTCTGACTACGCCGCAACACTGCTGAAGATCGACAAGCCTAAGAAGGAATCGCAGACATTTTGCGTGGACCAGCTGTGCGGTTTTCTTGGAGGTGGTCAATTGATGGCCTGCAGTTGAACCTGCCTCACCTGACTGGCTGCCCCTCTTGGTTGAGGCTCTGCAAAATGTGGGAAGGAACGGCTGTGGGCATACGTGTACAAATGGTTGGAAAGAAGAATTTATATTAATTGTATCGTACCAGCCGTGAGTGCAGGAGCAAACTTATTCGTTGTCAACCTATTTCATGTTATTGACGACGGGACGATCCCCTCCAGAATGGATGATCTGGAAATTGTCAAGCCTCTGGACAAAGCGGAATCCCTCGCCGAGGCTGCAGAGACCAGAATATCGCCTTCCCATTTAGAGAGGATACCGAGCGCCGGCGCCCAGGATTGGGAGGAGGAGCTAGAGGAAGAAGATAGCAGCGACGACGATCGGAATCACAAGCATCGGCGTCGAGTTTCTCGATCCCGTTCTGGAGACAGAGTAGACGAATCCAATGTTTCTCGGTACAACGGAGGTGGGTCAAATGATCTCAAGCGCCAAACCGGTGACCACGGTAGAGAAGGAGGAGGAGGACAGTCCAACCGAGAGCGGCCGTCGAAGTTTGAAAGACTATCGGGTCGTGATGCAGGGGGTCGATTTAGCAACGGAGAGCAAGCAGAGCGAGGTCTAATACGTGGCGGTGGTCCTCCGTTTCGGGGGGATGCACCTAGCCTGGGGCTCGATGGAGTGCGTATGGGCCGTGGCAGAGGAGCTGGTAGTTGGGTCGGTCCTATGCCGCCCCCGTTTGCTGACGCACCACCTCTGTTGTCCCCGAATGGAGGCTATTTCTCGAACGGCAGGGGCTTGGGTGGGCGTGGGGTTGGGTGGCCCGGAGGATTCGGACACATGAGTGGCATGGGAGCTAGTTCATTGGAACTTTCGCATGGTGGGCGAGGGCCACCTGGAGTTATGAACCTGGGGATGGGAACGGGTTTAGGACCTGTGCGACCGAGGTGTCTGGATTTTGAAGAACGAGGGTTCTGTCTTCGAGGAGATCTGTGTCCCATGGATCATGGTTCCCACATTGTCGTGGAGGATGTGCAGGTAAGATGCTGCTTCAGTCGGTGAGGTGTCACAGCAGCTTCCAGAAGCGAGAGCATGGGAGTCTGGATGGTCGGTGTATTTCGTGTAGGGTGTTGAGATGCGTAGGTTCCATGGCATGTCTGATTGGGCTTGTTTTTTGCACAGAAAAGAAGCGCATGAAAATGAGATAGGGCGAGGATCAGCAGGTTCCTTTCGTTGAATTTGGATGTTGTTCGTAGGATTCTATTTGCAGGAATCTAGGCCCTGCTAGCATACGGTGGTGGGTGCTATGGGTACGATTGTCCGCTCACCTGGAACTCCAGGCAAGGAGTTCAATGGGTCGCCCTCGGCGGTGAGGACTAAGAAACCTCATTTCTCCAGCTAAGCGTTCTGATTGTTGCTCACTCTGCAGAGCCTGTCCCAATTTAACCTGCCTGTCAACCTTTCAAGTGGGCGAGGCATGGCTGTGGCGCCCGGGCAGATGGCAGCCTCCAATACCATGCTACCCACTTCTGCACCTTCAAGTTCTCGGGGGAGCCGAGGGAGCCGGGAGCCGAGTATTCCTCCACTAGAAGCTCCGATCGTGGTGAATGGCCAAGTGTCTGGTGCTGAACCTGACCTGTACGATCCAGATCAACCGCTTTGGAACAAAGACAGACCTGAGGCCACGGGAAGGGTTAGAAAGTTGTCAGCGTTTCAGACGGAACATCTTGAGGTGGTTAAAGAGAAACCGGAACTGAAGAAGAACCCAGATGGGCGAGGGGTTGATGGTGGCAGCAGAGGTGCCAACAGCAGCAGCTTGCATGGTGCAGACGCAGTGTCCACTGTGTGGGATCGCATAGGACTTGTAGATGTAAGCGCTGCTAGTGCAGGGGTGAAATTAGAAGAACAGCGGGGTCAGAGCAGAGGAGTTACGTGGCAGCCCGGAAGATGGGAAGACCGTGAACCTGTCAGCGGAGCCACCAACCTCAATACAAATCCTGGACGAGGACGGGGTGCTGCCGGGTGGGCAGAGGTAGGTCCTCCATTCAACCGCTCCAAAGATGGGAGCAAGTTGGGGCCTCGCGCTCCTGGGCGCAGCGTAGAACATGCTCAACGCACACTCTATGTGAACTGCATACCTCCCAATGCTAATCAGGCAGAGGACTTGCTCATGCACTTTGAAAAGTTTGGACGTGTTGTGGATGTCCGAATTCCTCCACACAGTGACAGAGCCTTTATCCAGTTCGCTACTCGAGAGGAGGCGGAGTCAGCACTGGCTTCCCCCGATGCTGTGATGGGGAACCGATTCATACGATTGTCGTGGGCTAATCGTGATAGCATCAATAGTGATAGCGGCGCTTCCACTTCTTTTACTGGTCAGCCGCCAACCTCTGGCTCTGAAGCAGCAGGTGGCCATGCTGCACTAGTAAAAGGTAGAGGAAAACTGAGTTTGACTGGTCTGAATGGAGTCGTTGCCGGCCTGTCGGGAACTTCGATCCCAGAAGGCAGCAACAAAGCCACCACATCGAATGGTTCCGCAACTTCCTTGATTAGCCCAGTAGCTATGGCATCAAAGAAACAGGAGGAATTAGAGCTTATGCGTGAGAAGATCCGTCAGAAGCAAGAGGCCCTAGCTCAGAAACGCGACGATTTTCGGCGGAAGCTCGACAAGCTCGCTAGTCAGGTGAACCGTTTACCTTCGGATGATCTTGGTTTTGGTTTTGGTTTTGGAAATGATTTTGATTTTGACTTTGTTTTCATGATTTTAATGTGAGAATGATACCAGTCTGCCTAGGGGATACGACATGAAACTGCGCTGTGGTAGAGGTGGTCGTGATGTTTCAATGATCTGCCATGAGAGTCCCTCGAGTAGAATCCATGAATGGTGCAGTCTCCAGCGGCGGATCTTCGAACATGTGTTCTTTCTCCTAGGACTGTGGAGTTCCCTGTTTTATAACATTCATGGTGTGCGTGTGCGTGTGTATGTTATGATTTGTTTTTCTGTTCTTTTCCTGGGAGTTTGTTGAAGCTTTTGCCTTGGTTCCAGGGGGTTGCAGGATCCGAGGACCCTATAGTAGACCATGCCAGCAAGCGACAGAAAGGGGACAATTCTAGTGACGTGAGACCGTGCAAAGATATTGCCGCTGTTGGCAGTTTAACGACTACTTCTGGCATTAGGAAGACGAACTCGGGGGAAGTTGCGCAGGCAGGGACGACACAGGCGTCATCGAAGCCTACAAGATCTCCCCATCGTCGGACACCTTCGGGAGCATCTGTAGGACACCCCGCATCTGCGTGGGGTCCTGGACGATTCAAACTTGATAATCGCACAACGGCTTTTAGGGTTCTGCCTCCTCTTCCGGCTACTATCTCTGATGTAAGTGTCACTCCGCCCTTTTTCTCTCTCGGTTGCTGAAGCAAGCGAAGAAAATAGTCAAGCTTGGGGCGTAGCATAAACAGAATGGTTGCCAGGGTTTGTTTTGAAGTTGTGTGAGGTGGGGTAACAGCGCACATATGCGGAGCTTAACAAAAAAAAAAATTGCTGTTGATGCGAGCAGGTTGCAGCTGTAAAAGACCATTTCGCTGCATTTGGCGAGCTATCAAGCGTGGAAGTCGAGGATGCAGAGGATCACAAAGTGGATTCAGGACAACCCTGGAAATCGAGTAGCCCCATACGGATTAGCTACAGTACTCGACGGAGTGCAGAAAGAGCTATGACGCAGGGCAGGTGGTTTCACGGACAGTCGTTAAATCTGGTTTGGGTCTCTGTTGCTGTAACCAATCGGCCATCAGAGAGTGCTCCTGCTAGCATCACCGCTTTGACCGAGCATAAGACCACGGGTAGAGGCGATGCCAACGAAGTTTGGGAAGAATCGTCTGTTGAAGAGCAGCACCACGTGGAAAGCAAGGCAAGCCTGAAAAATGAAGCTCATCCAAGTGGAGCTCGGGTGGTGTAATTCCTCAATAACACCAGACGCCTGAGATGTAACAAGCATACTTGCACCTGTCAAAATAGCTCTGAATGTATCTAAAACCCCATTTTGCGTTGGGGAACGTTCGAGTGCCTCATTAGGAACGAGGTCTGCTCGACACATTTAGTTTAGCGTAGACTCTGTAATTTGTAAGCTTTTTTCGGTTTCCAGCTTCCTTTTTCCTTTTCTTTTTCTTATTCTTAGGACTTTCAATTGACAAGTAATCAAGCCAGATGTAGAGCTCATGATCGAAGAGCCATTTTTGGAATTAAATTGAAGTCACTAGGCTGGTTGCCAACAGCCAAGCAAGGTGGATGTGGCTGCTTACTGCCCTTCCAGGTCACCTTTGCCGTTCCAAATCACTTCTTGGTCCCAGCTTGTTTGTCTGCTGTTTCCAACACATTTTCCCTGGCACAATTGGTAATCCAATATTGAAGGCAAAATATCAAGCGACGGTACAACATCTCGCTAAGTACCTAAATTTCGTATCAGGGAGGGACAGTAATGGTAGGAAGTTACTTGTCCTGCCGGGCGCTAAGTCTATGATTTATCGGAGAAGGGCTCACTGGTTAATGGCGGAGGTTACCTAGATGGGCGTAAGGTCAACCTTGTCGTTGTCAGTGCAGATGCAATTGGAGCTCAAGAGGAAGTAAGTGCAGAATCGGATAGGGTGAAGTGGGAAGCCTGGCTGTGTGGTGTCCATTCCATGAAATCAGTTGGACATTGACACAACATTATTATTGTTATTTGTATCTTTATTTACTCTATGTTTTTGCTTGGTAGGGAGATAGGATAGGGTGTACCACGGAAGGATAACACTTTTGTATATGGTGTATAACATGGTGTATTTTATGGTGCATTGAATAATACAAGTTATAGTTGCATACAAATTTTTTGTGGTTGTAATAGTGCTATTTGGTGTTGTATTTGTATAGTCAATATATTGTGTCATTCTTGGATAAAAGCACCTAGTTGGTTTATCCCTTGTCATTTTAGAATTGATTGTTTTGATTTGATGTATAGCTTTTGAAGTTGATGAGTCTTTGAGTAAATCATGTCAATGGTGGCTTGAAGGGCACTAGTATTGTTATAAAGATCCCTATTGCACAAATATATTAAAAAAATAATTATTTGGTTGAAATTTTGGATCATATATTGAAGTTCTATTAAGATAACTTAGATCTTTCACTGAGTTTTTTTTTTTTTATTTTGATATATTATACTATTTAGGTGTAGGTTTTTCTTCACACAATTGATTTTTCAATAATGTGACAAAGACATGAATTTTGAAGAATTGAAAGTTCAAGTCACTCTTGTGTCACTTAAAAAGACTAGATAATCACTCATAGATGATATAATATTAAACTAAAATGGCTATTGCTAAAGACAAGAAGATTAGAAAGTCTTGAAACAAGTCTAAGAACTAGAAAGGCATTGACAAGAGTGAAAAAAGCTTCATTCTTGCCTCCATATATACTCTCTAACCAGAAGCTATGTGGTGATGTTCTATAGGATCTCCAACATGTATTGACTTTACAAGATACATATCTTAACTTGCAAGGTAAGTTTTTAATATGTGCACCAAATAGTTAGCTTATTCTATAAGTTACCAACATGTGTGATATATAGATAATTTGTTAATCAAATTTTTAATCTATCAATTAACTACAAACACATTGTTGGAATAGAGAGAATTTGCCTTAAGAAAGCACTGGGCTTCTAGATATCACTAAATGCTCAACCAAGCCTCTAAATTAAAAAAATACCAAGTCTATATATAAAATTGTTCCTATAGGGACAATTATATCAAACATAAGCCTTAAGTACCAAAGATCACCAAAAATGTGATAAAAATATTATAAAACTTATATATCTTTAAGATGATTTTTTTTCAAACTTCAAAAACTCATATTTCACGATCGGACCGTCCAAACAAACCTAAATTTTACATGAAGTATTGATGTACTTTTAAAAACTACTACAACAAATTTCAAATGTAAATTCATTATGGATCTTGAGATACCACCAAAATTCTAACAATAGCTTCAATCCCTTGCTTACATACATCCATGTGCAAATTTCTTCATATCTCACATATTAAGTACTAAAATACCATAAAATTTAGATATATTACTTTAAAACTTAATAACACACACTTCTAAAAATTTTGAGCCAAAAATTCATCTGGAATCTCAAGATATGGCTCCAACCATTACTATCAACAAAACGACTCACTTAATGCCATTGAATTACATGTGCTATCTTCAATGCTCTATAACTTCTTCATAAAAACTTCAAATGTAGTCATTTCTTCATAAAAGATATAGATCATAAAATCATCCTTGTGTTTGCTTCTTTTGATCTCCAAAATCCATCATAAAACTCCTTGTATCCTAAAAACATCAATAGTATGTCTTAAAAAGACACCTTAACTTCAAATGGCTATAATTTCATCACCCTAATTCCAAATCCTTTAAAATTTGTATAAAAATTGTAGCCAAACCTCTAAACCTTATAATCCTTACTTTTGATTCTCAAATGTCTCTTCTAAATTTGCCAAAATCCTTGTTATGGTTGCAGATAGATTATTGAATGCCCACTGAGCATGGCCTTCGACCAATAGGAATAAAGATCTTTATTTTTTGCCTTCATCCGACCATGCCTTGATTTCATCCCTCTCCATAAGCCTCCTTGTAGTTTAGATTTTCATCTTCAGGCTTCTACCTTCTTTTAAAGCTCTATACTAAACATCTAAATCTTATATAATTTAAATACTATAATAAAAATAGATGAAATTAAAAATAAAGTTTTTTATATCTACTCCCTTTAAATTAATTTATTAACCATTCTAACATACATCGACTTATAAATATAAAATGTACTTTAATTAATTTTTACATATTATAAGCATTTATAATACAACAATATGTAAAGTCAAAACTACATCTAGGAAGTTTTTAGGAAGTTTTTTTAGAAGATATTATGAAATTAATTTATTTTTATCTATTTTTATCTAATTATCTAAGTAATTATTGAAGTAAATATGTATATCTATGTCATTATCTTCATCTTCTAGAGACAAGTTCCACAAGGAGCAGTCATCATCTTTCATGGATATTTTTATTTTTATTTTTATTTTTTTTTCCATCTTGATTTTGATGGATGTCATTAATGAAAATCTTCAAATTTTTATGCTACATTTGCAAGATTCTTTTTTGGCTCCTATGTGTATTTATTAATATCATATCCATATCAATGAATGAGATATTTCAACCTATTTTGGCACTGCCTTGAATTTGAGATTTCTTCTATTTCAAATTCTTAAATATTATCTATTTTTATAAGAAGAGGTGGCATTTGTCTTCTTCTTGAAATATTTATTATTTTATATGGTTCAAAAAGAGATATATGGAATATAGCATAGATCTTTATAGACTCTAATAGATGTAATCAATAAGCAAGAATATTGACTTATTCACAAATAAAAAATGGTCCAAGCCTATGATAGTCTAATTTTTTCCAAAGACAGGTAGTTTTGATATTGTGACAAAATAACCATATTTTGTCACCCATATTGAATTGTAGTTGTTTTTTGCACTATGCATCCACATTGATCTTTTGTTTTTCTTGAGCTTCCTTTAATTGTACTTTTATTATTACATATAGCTTTGACAACCAATTTGTCAAATCTTTTGCTACAAGATTATCAACTATTCAAAATTCAAAAGTATCAAGTCATGGATGATAACCATAATTGGCAAAGAAAGGTGTTTGTTGAATAAAAGAATGTATCTATTTATTATATGCAAACTTTGACAATGGCAAAAGAATTGTTCAATCATTTTAATGATAGTTGATGGTACACATCAAATACTGCTCTAGAACTTAATTCACCTCTTCTATTTGCTCGTGAATTTGAAGATGAAAGGTGGAAGACAAATTTATATCTACCTTTGATATCTTAAAAAGGGTCCTTTAAAATATTAATACAAATTATATCTTTTTATTTGATATAATATTCTTTGACATTCTATGATAGTAATAGATATTATTCAAGAAAAGCTTAGTTATTTTTTCATCTCAATAGATTTCGTATATAACATAAAATGTGCCATTTTGATGACGTGATCTACAATCACAAATATAGAGTTATATGAACTTGAACTTAAAAGATTCATAATATAATCCATAAAAATAGAAGATCATAGTATTTTTGATTAAGGCAATAGTTTGAAAAGTATATAGGATTGATGATGAAGAGTTTTTGAACTTGAATAAATGTCATATGATTATATGAAGTCTTTTATAGCCTTCTATATTTGTGGCCACTAAAAATCTTTAGATATAAGATCCAAAGTCTTATTGTGTTTAAAATGACTTGCTACTAGAAAGTTATGACATGATTGACAAACATATAAATGAGCTTCTACTTTTGGAACATATAAACGATCTTTGAAATACAATAGGTTGTTTTTAAACTAAAACTTGAAAGTATCATCAAATTTAAAAGAAGTATTTATGATATCATGAATAAGAAGATCATAGGATATACTTGATTGAATTTGCTTGACAAGTGTTGAATCAATAATCAATGTTGATTTTATTGCTCAAAGATAAAATTACCCTAGCTTCAAACAATCATTTTTTATTAATCAAAAGCTGCAATTTTTTCTTTTTGTACAAAATAAGAATATTTAGAAAGTATATTTAATAAATCTTATTATTTATTAAGTCATTATGTGATCTTAAAATCAAATCTTGGTAAAGACAATTTCAACAAGCTTAGCAATGTTTCAAAATATATAACAACATGAAATACTTGAAGTTCTTGTGATCTATATATACAATGATTAAATTAGAAGCACCTTCAAGAAAATGATGCTATTTTTGAAAAGAATCTATAATTATAAGAAGTTTTTTTTTATTGTAGATTTTATAATTGATCTTTGCTATTAAAAGTTTCTTAGAATAGAAATCTATTGGAAGGAATTTATCATGTACTTTTATTTATAATAATATCACACAAAAGGTAAATTTAATGCATCAATTTTTATAAAAAAATGCCTTAAAAAAGTCAACACAATATAATATTAGTATTAAAAAACTTGATGAAAGTAAATATACAAGTATAAAAAAATAAAAATAAAGAAGTATGTATATTAAAAAGAAACTAAAATGGCTATTAATAAAAGTCAAGGAAATTAAAGACTCTTGAATCTAGACTAGAAGCAAGAAAAGAATTGACAAGAGTAAAGATGGCTTTACTTTTGCCTCTATGTATATTATTTAACTAAGAGCTATGTAGCAATGTTCTATAAGACCTCTAATATGTATTGACTTTATAAGATACATGCTTTAGCTT